AAGAGGAGAGGGAGGGGAAGGGGAGGGGAGGGGGAAAGAAGAAGGGGAAGGCAAGTCTAAGTATACTTGTCTATTTAATTCTATTTTAATTCACAACTCCTGTAATATACTTACCCTTTGCCCCAACTGGCAAGAACTGCCAAAGTCAACAATCTTGATTGCACTGCGTTTGGGGTTGCAAAGAAGGATATTCTCAGGTTTTAGGTCACAGTGAATGATACTAAGTTCTGGAGTTGCAAGGAAAAGCAGTGCAGTACACATCTGCTGCGCAAACTTTCGTGTTAGGTTCAAAGAGACCCCTCGGAAATTGGTGTTCCTCAACAAGTCATACAGGTTGTAAGACAGCATTTCAAAAACTAAACAGAGATGGTTTCGAAACATAAAGTGGCGTTTCAAATGCACTGAAAGAGAAAACAGTTTTATTTTAAATTATACAAACCAGTAAGAAGAAAGCAACACACACAGTACTGCCACGTGGCCTGTAACATGACAATGTCAAATGCAAAGTGAAAAGCTGAGGTGTGAAGATCACCCCTCTGCAGTATTGAAAAGCACATTTTTAAAGTAGTTAAGAATATTTAAAGTGCTCTCCTGCTGAATTGAACAGGTTTACTGTCTGTCAATAAACAATACCATAAAAAATTTAATTCAGGAATGAAAACACAAAGAGCCAATTTGCAAAACAGTAGGGAGGATACTCAGAACTTGATCATGATTTACACATAACAGAAACCGCGCTTTTATCCTGAGAGTCCCACTTCACAACTACTAGAATCTCTGGTTCCTATACTTGGCGGCCCTCTGCACTGGCTTGATAAATAACCTGTGTTTACTAATAATGTTCTGTCACAAAATGTCAAAGTACAACATATTTTTTATATTTTGTTTTTCTAGTTTTATTTTTTGTTCAGCAAGTGTTTCAAAATAAGATATTAAAAGGCTCTGGGAATCCACCATCAGGGCACTTGATTATGTTCGTCAAACTGATAGAAGGGAAATCTTGTGTGAGACCGAAGGTTTTTGACAACTTCAAAATAATAATCACAAGAGACGAGCGGGCCCACACACGGCAAAACGGTAAAGAGTATGCGGACTGCTCCACTGCCGACCCTCCGAGAAGGCTGAGTTCTTTACAATGTGTCTTAAAGATCACGCTGGAGTAAGTGTTAACACTGGCTCCACGTCCAAGCGGCTGTGCGCCTGGCAAAGGGCTGCTCTCCACTATGAGCTCCTCACAGGCACCACACGGAGCACTGGAACTCAACTGAAATGGCAGAGACCACCCATCAAGGCTACCTCCACGCAGACTTTCAGTGTCACATCTTCCCCAGAGCCTTTCCCGGCCTAGTCCTGGGTGGCCTGTCTCGAAGCACTACGTGTCAATGCTGTTTTTAGATCACTCATGACATGGGCAGTCTCAAACGTGGGTTAAGTAACACAGTGGAAAATCTACATGGCTTATAAAAGAATCTATAGTGGTATCTGATGCTGCAAAAAATGGAAAAAGACTCCTCAAAGTTATTTAAGAATGTACAGTATCTGCACTTAGTCACTCCAGTTCATACATTTAAAAATAAAAACAGCTCCAATGACACCACACAGACTTGAGCCACGCAATGGGTTACAGTGCCCACGTTAAGCAGTAGCCATGAAAGGAACACAAAGGATAACTGATGTCAGAATTGCAGTGTGGTCACAAAATTCCCTTTAAGAAACTTCGTAGTTAGAATGGCCTCCCAGTGAAAGATCTACTCGCTTCCACTGACCTTGTAATTCATCACTGGTTACTGAGTACCTACAAGGGGCTGACCACTCAAACACTGTCAAAGAAAGCTCGGACACAAGCACGTTTGCTCATTCTTACAGTGAGTTCTGGAAAGAACGGTGGGTTGCCAAGACCTAAATCATTAGTTCTAGACCTACTCTGAATTTTGTTTTAATTAGGTCAGGTACCAAATAACCCAGATATCTGGCAGATTCTGAATAACCATATAAACCATTTAAGACAGGCTATAAAGGAGACAGCAGGGCTAAGGAGGATGAGGAAGGCTTGCTAATGGGTACCAAATTACAGGGAAGAGAAATAAGTTCTGCTGTTCTACTGCACAGCAACATGGCTCAACGGAACAGTATTCTAATGTGTATTTTAAAACACCAGTTCTTTTCTGCTATTAGGGTTGGAATCTGGAATGCCCTCAAAAGCCTCAGGTGTTCAAAGGTAGCGCTGTGGAGCTGACTGGATCACAGGGGCCGACTCATTCATAGCTAAACGTGCTGCGGTGGGGAGTGTCTGCGTCTTCCTCCAGGGCCTTTCCGTTCTCTCTGCGGTGTGAGCGAGCAGGTCTCCTCTGCTAGGCCCTCCATCCATGGACTGAAAACACGTGAGTCAAAATAACCCTCTCTTCCTTTAAGTTATGGATGCCAGCTGTGTTGTCCTAGCAATGAGAAAATGACTCAAGGCATCTGCCATCTTCACAGATTAGAACTTAAAACAAAACTCTTCCAAAAGAGAATTTGTAATAATAACTAATAATTAGTTATTAGTTAATTGAAGTGGTCATTAAAGTCAGTTTATTCAAAACAAAGAAGAACAGCTCTTACCACACAGAGCTGAGCAGCTGACACTTCTGAGTGAGTACTCACTATGCGCCAGCGTGACCCACCGTGGTACATGTGTGACTGTGCCAGCGGGTGGCGTGCACCACTGGTGGGACAAGTGTTAGTCATGCCTGGCAGCAAAACATACAAGTTACAGGCCTGTCTGAACACTGTGAAAACACTACAGCACTGCTGTGGACAGTTTCTCTACTACTTAAGCACAAAAACGACAACGCCCAGGGTAAAGGAGGGCTAAACGCACATCCAGAGAGCCCTTATGGACCAGCCCCCTACACTGTCCCGTCGATGGAACTGGGTCCATCGACACTAAATTAGACCTGAAAGTGAGCAGCAAATTCAGTGTTAAACGGATCGTATCAGGCATCTACAGAGAAGAAACTGAGAAGGAGAAAACTGGTTTTTAGTTTTATTTCGGTTTTGAGACAAATACGTAGCCCAGGCTGGGCTCAGAGCGATCCTCCTGCCTCTGCCTCCCAAGTGCTGGGATTAAAGGTGTGTGACACCAAGGTCAGCTCCAAGGAAGAAAAATTAATAGTTCAACTTTATTTTTCTTTGGAACAAAGGAAAATAAATGCACGTGATCTGAATTATCTGAATTTTGTATCATTAACCATCCATTACTTATTTCCACCATTTTTGGAGAACTACAGAACCACAATCCTTTTCCACCACACCCTTTTTAAAAAGGGTACCAATTTTAAATAAAACTTTATTTAAGACACTGCATTTTCCACTTACCTGTTTTTAAAGGAGCTGAATAAAATCTTATCTTCCATTTATCAGGTAAAGCCAACATTTCTGAACATGAGCTACTACATATCTGCACTTACAGAACTTTCAAATTTACTGATCCTGAGCTCTGTTATCTGATGATATCTAATATGTATAATCAGTGGCAATTTTTCCCTGGTGGTACATAAGATAATGGTGTCTTAACAATCCCTGACATCTTGGGTTTGACTAAAAATAGTAGTAAAGAAAATTTAAGTAAAAGGTGCTGGCCCTAGGGTACAATATTTTCATAATTCTTCTGTCTTCTGTTTTAGTTTCCAAAAGGAAGACTGTGACAATGAAACAATACCAGTTCTCAAGTAAGGCAGACTAGATTCAGACCCTAGCTCAAGTTCTGCGAACCTGGAGGTGTTACTTCTTACAAACGCCACTTACAAGGAAGGGCTCCACTACCTTCCTTGCGGGACTGCTACGATTACTACAGACAACAGAAGAAAAGCATGAGGAATACGACAAGAGGTGAGAAACAGTGGCTATTTTCACTTCTGCTACTAGAGTCCAAGTGCTTCCAATGCCGCCAAACTGAGAAACAGCCCAGGGAGGAGCTGAGGTCTTGGTTCAGGCACTGCAAAAATGGCTCGCAGACACCAATAAACATGTTAGCCTACATCTACTTTCTGAACTACACATGAAATAGTCAAAGTTAGCAAAAGGGTGACTCTGTGGATCAGTAAGCAACATTAAAACAAACAAATGGCACAGGTAAGTTGCATTTTTAAAAAGACACTATTCTTGCCTGGGATTTAGCTCAGTGGTTCTGGTGCCTGCTTTGCAAGCGCAACGACTCGTTTCGATCCCCGGTACCAAAACAAAACAAAACAAAAGACACTATTCTTACTGGCTTCTACATTATACACTATCTGGAACGTGTCATCCCCAAAGATTTCAGATCAAGCAATGCGTAAAGCTCTGATCTCCAAAAGGAATAAAAGTTTAATCAATCACTTCACTATAAAATCAAGTTTGATATAAAATTAAGCACTGATTCAAATTCCTGGTGTAGAACGGACACACAGCGCTATTTACCTATGTAATATTTCATTTCGGTGTCATGTTTGTTCATGAGCTCCAGAAGTCGCACTTCTATCTGGGCTTGATTCAGGAAAGCCTTCTTGTTCTTTATTATTTTAATGGCGACCCATTCTTGCTCCACCCGATCGTATGCTTTTACAACCTGGAAGAGAAGAGAGAGAGGTAATTCTCCACCTCTTCGTGGCAACTTCACAACACTTTACATCGCTCTCCAACTCTACGTCTACTCAGTGCTTATTTAACTAACTACATATTTCTTACTTTGCTAAGAAGAAAACACCCTGACTCGACTCGATACCATCCACCGTATTACAGAGTAACTTTAAGTCTATCTCTTGAAATGAGTATTTTTGTACCCTTATTACAGTACTTAGAATATTTGAAAAACGGGTAATTTTATTAACAAAATTAGATAAACTGCTTTCCTCCTGCAGAAATAAGATTAGGAATCCTTACAAGTACTTTGGTTGTTTAAACCTTCCTTATCAAAAATTACTTTTTAACTATAAAACAATTTTATCCAGTTATTCTTTTGATGAGAAAAACCTGGTTTAAATCCCCAAAATATACATGACATATTCAAAAGGTTCTACTACATCTCAGAAAGTAGATACGCTTCTAACTTTGTTAGATTTACATAGATAAAAACAAAAGTACAGGAGCCAGGCATGGTGGTACACGCCTATAATCCCAGCACTCGGGAGACTGAGGCAGGAGGATCGCTGTGAGTTCGAGACCAGCCTGGGCTACACAGTGAGTTGAAATCCAGCCTTAACTACATAGCAAGACCCTGCCTCAAAAAACCAAAAAGTACATAATTATACTAAAAATATATAAATTGCTGTATGGACACAATTTTTAAGGTAGATATCACAAAGTTATAAATAAGTTTTACTGAGACTTGTCCAAATGCTGCTGTATTTTTCAAGGTGGAGACAGCAAGCTCTGTATTTACGTACGGTGTTCACAGTCCTAGCTAAGAAGAACTGGGCCTGAGAAATGCCTTTCCTTAAGGGGTTCTGATAGAGAAGCAGAAGCTACTCATGACTCCTCAAATAATGAGAAAGCCCTTATTTAGAAAAAAGAGATCACAAATCAAGGAAATTTTCCTTCAAGATACGGGGTGGAAGAAACATAAAAAACAAGCATCACAGGGACCAGGTAGAGCCAGACCAGAGTCACAGAGCTCTTCAAATACACTTCATACGACTTACATGGTTAATAACCCGGGTCTTTCTACGTTCAGACGTGCGCCTGCTAGGGCTAAGGCTGCTACGGAGAGCCTCTTAGAGCGGTCAGTGACACAGAAGGCCCGCCGCAGCATGCACGCCACAGGCTCACCACACTGGCCTGGGCTACACGTTTGGCCTAAGCATCAGATCTGACAGGAGTTTTTGTTTTTCTCATAGGTTGAAAAGAGGCATGTGTTTTGCTTTCTCTCAGGGCAGGAACACAAAAAACACCCACAGATCTCATAATTTTTTTTTTTTTAAGAAATCCAACAAAAATTAAAAGGAGGGCTGGGGACTTAGCTCAGTGGTGCTGCCGCCTGCCTCGCAAGCACAAGGTCCTGAGTTCAATCTCCGGTACCAAAAAAATAAAATAAAATAAGAATAAAAGGCAATTAAGTCATTCTGACTCCCGTGCTATCCTCTCACTCAAAAGTTGGGAGTACTGGGACTGTAGGTTAATATCTAACCCATTGCAAAGGACTACAAGGCAGAGGAGACCGAAGTTAACAGGAGCTCGAACAGAGGGAAGGGCACGGGAGAGGAGGGAAGAGATAGCAGGACTTACCAGGTGGGAACAGCCGGGAAACACAGCCAGAAAGCTGTTTTATAAAGTGTGAGAAGGAAGAAATAAGAGCTCTTGGGTCTAGGTGTCCAAGAAACTGTGTTTTTATGGCTCTGTGCTCTCAAAGGGCTGGGCGGAGGGGTGGGGATGAAGGCAAACCAGGCCCAGCAGAGGCCCTCTCACGAGAGCATCAGCCTGGTGATCCGGGTTGGAAGGGGAAACACTGAATCCTGTTTGCCAAGTACGTCAGAGACCAGACGAAGTTTGAAACAGTGGGAGGAAACCCAACGCACAGGCCAGAGCATCCAGAGAACTGGGAGGGCCTGCTGGGCCACCTAGAGTGGGAAATCTTTTCTCCTTATCAGATAGAAAGGGAAATATCTTTCACACATAATGAACAATCCACAAAGCCCACGTGAAAAAGGTAATATCATCTATTAGTGATTAAAATCAATCACCTGTCATTCGTAAAAAAATTAGTAGCAGCCAAAGAAGGTTTTTAAAAAGCGTAGGGGAAATGTCACAGCTGATGCCGTTTTACTATCTTTAGGGAATGAGGACCATCTACATACGTGATTCACAAACAAGTCCTAGCTCATGAAATGCAGCATTTTCAATTAAGTTACCTGTCCAAAGGAACCTTTGCCTATCAAGGAGTCGATTTCGTAACGGTCCATCCACTTCTCCCCGTTTTTCACAATATAGTCATAGTTGTCATCATCGTAGCCATCGTTATAAACCTTCCGCTCCTTCTTATGACTAGAGTCGTCTCCCTGGCCCTGCTGGTGTCTTCGCTTCTTTTTTGCATAGTAAACCTGAAACGAGAGCAAGTGTGTAACTGTGTAACTTAAGTCACCGTCGCAAGGGTCATACATCAAAAGAATAAATGAAACAAATGTACCAGGAGGAACTTAATGAATTTTCCCTCAGTAACTACAGAAACTGAAATACAGAATTTTCTGCAGCTGACATGTGACCAATGGGGAAAGGCCGCACTGAAATTCAGTCTAGTTGTAATGCAGGTGCATTTTACGAACAGGAGACTTGGGAAGTGGCCCAAGGTGTCCTATTCAAGAAAAGTAAGAAGGGGCCTTGTTATGTGTTAAATTAAGGTATTATTTATACATAATGAGATGGCACAGATTTGTGGGGCGGCAAGGGCTCCCTGTAACGCAGGTTGGCCTTGAGCTCATGGTGACCCCACTCCCGGCTTCAGCCTCCCCGAGTGCTGGGATCGCAGGCGTGCACCACCACACCTGGCCGTGACACAGATCTTAAAAGTACAACACGAGATTCTGAGAAGTATCTACACTAATGCAGTCAACACCAAAAACACAAGTAACTTTTTATCCCCTTCAAGTCCTTTCAGGCCCCCTTTTCTAGTCCTGCCAACTTTAAGATTTTAAAATGAAACTTCACGTGCAGATGAAGTGTTTTATTAAAACTGACCAGTTTAAGCCTATAATAACGAATGACTAATGAAAACAACCATGCTGACCTACAGGCCCTAAGCCTTGTGATTAATCACAGAACAAAGTTACTTTTATAAGAGTAGTTTTAAAAAACGAGGCCAAGTCCAAGTAACTGGTAACTAGCTTCAAGGAAATTATAAATTACATTACATAGAATATCTGACAAAAGTCTAGCATACAAGATGGCAAGATATTTAAAAACAAGCCTCAATAGAGCTACTATTTATTTATTGACAAGTTTCTCAGATAATAGCAAACTGATATTTGATGTGCCATTGAAACAATCTGTCAGCTAGTGTGGTATATCATTTATAACACCATAAATATACAAAATTTAACTCAGAAACGCGCCTTACTGGAGTAACTCTACCTTGTCACAGTAATGTAATAATACTGGCATTAAGCAGCGTCAAACTGCTCTAACTAAAATTTGTGTGCATAAAATTTTTTAAGTTAAATGGCTCAAAAGCTGGCAAAGCATAAGCCTTTTTTATGTGACAGTATGTGGGGTTCCTGCTGGAAGAGAAAAGCAAGCAAGGCTCTTCTACAGACAAGCTCACTTAATAATTAATTATAAAGCTAGAGTTGAAGCTAAAAGCAAATAGCAATCAAGCTAAAAGAAGGTCCAAAGTACCAGAAAATTACTTCTTTATGGCAAAAGGGAAAAAACAAAACAAGCAATAAGACAAGTAATTCAAAGTACTTATTTTTTAAAAATCCTACCAATTACTTTTAAAATATAAATAAATAAACAAACAGCTCTTGCTGCAGTTATCTTACATGGAAAGATATAGGTAAAAGAGCACAATAAAATCACAGAAACACAGAGAGATCAATAAACTAGGCCAAATGAGTGTAACTGGGTGGTGATGTATCTCAGAGCTTCCTGACATTTAGGGAAAACATGGAAATATATAGAAACATTTAAGCACAAGCGTGTAACATACAGTTTACTACAGAGTCATTTTCTTCCTTTCTTGTTTTGGAAAAGAATCATTACAAAAAATGATAACAGCATATTAAATTAGCTTTAAAATTACAAAGCTATCTATAACTTTACTGTTTGCAATGTTACTAATACCTTCTTTTTCACACAGTTATAGTTACGCTATCTGTAAGTCATTAACTCACCAGTCTTTCTGATAATCCTATATATGACCATAATAAGAATAAAACAAGTTTAGAATATTTATATAGGCACCAAAGAACTTTTCCCACTGAACTGAAAGACCGATGCTATTATAACAAATCAACAGACTTACCTCATTAATATGCTTGTATGTTTTGATCAAATCAACAGAAAGTTTTCTCAGGGGAGCAGTTGCTGGATCACGGAAGGTTTGGGGCATCCGCCTCTGTAACATGACAATATCAGGCATCACCTTAAATAGACAGAGAAGACTAGCACTTTAACTCCACTGCAGTGATGCGATCCCCTCTTCTATAACCTGTATGCATCTACTTCACAAAGAAAGAGCTCTGCATGAGGTTATTCTCTCACAGTATCTGGATTCAAACAAAGGCAACCACTAGAACAAGTATGCCCACAGCCTGAAGTGCTCATCTGACACACCCCAGCCCAGGACACACACAGGATGCTGCCCAAGGACTGCTTTACCACACAGCCCAAAGAAAAGTTTCTTCTGAATTTCTCCTAAAACCTGACCTGCCTTACAACAGGCCAGCAAAGGGGCAGCTCCTGACATCACCAAGCCCTTGCCTCTCGTACAAGTATCTGCCCAGAAGCAAAGCTAAAATGAAGTGGAACATGCCACCCACTGCAGCACCCCCACCTTGCCCCTTAACGGTCCCGAACTATGGCTCTCCTCATCCCGTGCTCGGCACAGGGCTCCCCGGGATAGGGCTTCCTGCAATCAACAGACCCTCAAAGACAATTAATGACACCGAAGTACGTGCAGCCATCACCACCACCCAGCCTCGTGCTCCTCACTTGCTTGTACGGCTACTTATGCCCACGAGGTGTGCTAAGCCAGAAGCCCCAGATGAAGTCCCTCTAAGAGGAAACTCGGGTCACCTGGGGGCAGCCCCCGCAGTGAACACATCATTCCAAGATGTCCCCAAAATGTCTACAGTCTCAGCCTAATGGTAACCCACAATAATAAAAAGGAGAGCGGCAGTTTTGGCCTGCACACGCAAACTCTTCTTCAAAGCGTGTTATCTGGATGGTACATTTGCTGTGCTACTGGATTAAGTTAGACTCTGTCTTGAGAGTCTCTCCTCCTTGAAAGTTCCAAGTGAGGAGTACATGGGGGTGGGGGGACCTTCAGTAAGTACAACTATTTGTCTACAGAGATCATCAGAGCTAATAAAATCTGCACTACCTCATCTCCCAAATATATATTCATTATTTTTAAAACATAAACAGTAGAAAAGGCTAAATTCATAGAATACTATTCCTTGTGGATCTGATTTATTGAATGCACAGTATCAGTAATAAGCATGTCAATTCTTTTCACGTGAATGAGTACCACATGGATCTAAAGTAACGAAACAGGTCCCGGGATTTAGCTCAGGGGTTCCGCCCCCTGCCTCACAAGCGCAAGGTCTTGGGTTCCATTCCCATTACCAAAAAATAAAGAATGAAACAGGTTTATGTTAATGTTCTTTTTTCCTTTTAAAATTTACACCTGTGGTGCTATTTTCATGAAGTTAAATTATTCAAAAGACCCCTTTCAATAGAAACAACACTTCTGTACATAAGGCGGGAAGGGGGTTTGAGGGAGAATGGGATAAAATCGAATTTGTTTTTAAAAAAGACCCCTCCTTAGATCGGTACAGTACAGCCTCAATATGTGCCTTCCCAAAATCTAAATCAGTGAAATGCTTCATTAATACTGTAATGCAAGCTGCGATTGGTAAAGTCACCTGAGTAGTTTAAGAGTAATAAGTGTGCTATGACTGAAGAATATGGTGCATATTTTTATTTCTTTGGTACCAGGGATCGAACTCAGGAACTTGCTCCGGTGAGGCAGGCGACAGAACCACTGAGCTAAATCCCCGGCCCTGGTGCATAATTTTAAAAACATCTGTCACTGTAAAAGACATGCTGCCCCTAAACTACCCTCAAACATTTCCCTCTTCAAACATCTTTCTGAAGCAGCTCTGGAATTCCTCTTTCCTAGGTCTCTTTAATCACATTGTGTCAGCTGTCTTGATGTCCTGAATTAATCCAAAATGTTTACCTTTCATGGCTACTTTCACTTTGGGGAAGAGGCGGAAGTTACAAAGTGCCAGATCTGGCGAAGGTCACACAGCAATATTTTTATAACCCAGCCTTTCCCTTGGGTGGCACTCAGCTGCAGTATTCACCACATTTGTGCAGACATAAAACAAAAGCACACTTCCCCAGTTGCTTCAGAAAGTAGAAAGGATAAGGAGAGTGTTTGAATTGAGGAAGAGTACTGTGAGGAAGATATTAATAGCAATGTGCCTTTTACCGTGATAATTTTTAAACAACATTTAAACATTCATTGTGTATTTGGGGGTTGTTGTTTTTTTTTGTTTTAATTTTTTGAGACGAGGTCGCACTGTGCAATCCAGGCTGGCCTTGAACTCATGGCAATCCTCCTGCCTCAGCCTCCCAAGTGCTGGAATTTCAGGCGTGCACCGCCATCCATGCCTAGCTCACTGTATATTTTGATCACACCATGTAACAGTAGCAAATATTTACAAAGCACTTTTTGTGCATGCATGTTTTTGCATGTCTCCATGCAATCTTCTTCTCAATGACCTCATGAATGTACATGCTATTCTTATCACCAGTTTCCAAAGGAAATATCTGAAGCTCCTATATCAAGTGACCTAACCAGGTCTAGAACTGGTGAAGAATACAGCTAGGATGTCAGCCCAGGCAGTCCACACCTGACCCCAGATTCTCAGCGGAGACACTGGGCCAGGAGCTGTCAATTTTTAAGATTTTCTACCCTCTTAGATTAAGTCAACTGTGCCAATTTGGGGTAAAAATAACTGTAGCATGCATAAATAAGCCATGTGCATTAACCATACAAATGTAAGTACTTTTATGTGTTTAACCTGTCGTTCACAACTTGACTGGTTATTTCAACAACTGAAAAAAGAGCCAGTGGCTCCATCTATGGGCAACCATGCTCACTGGAAACACCCAAATCCGACCATCAGGAAAGCTTTACAGTACAATCCCAGCTACTCAGGAGGCTGAGGAAACTGGACTGTGAGTATGAGATAGATCAGCTTGAGCAACACAGCAACAGCCACTATGGGGGACGGTTTACAATCAAACTTAACTGCTCAGCAACATGATCACATTTGCACACTCACGGCGAGCGTGAGCCTTATGCCTGGCCCTTCACAGGACACTGTTAAATGAACACTGAGCTTAACTGGTCAGACTCCACTTACAAGGCCAAGTGGTTAATTCTTACTACCTTACTCTCTTTGTATATTTCCGGCAGCAGAAGTTACTGCAGGGGCCCTTGCACATATAAAGCACATGTATTTTGCCCACAAATAAGAGTGTATCTCAATGCTTCATATGGTACCTTGTGCTCCAAAGATACAGAAAGATCAAATTAACTTCTCCAAAGTAGTATCTCCTTCCCTTTCACTGTGATTTCGTATTAGCCAAATTTTGTAATATCATGCTGATTAAGCACAAATTTGAAATTATAAAATAGCTTGCAAGTTACCTAGTCACACTTCTATGCCAAGCATCAAGGCCAGCCCTAAGTATCTGAGAGCTTCTCCGCTGCCTGCTTCTTGTGGCCACCCTGTGGTAATGAACTAAGCCCCCCTTCTCCCTTCTACAAGCTGAAAGCAAGGCTGAGGCACTCGGAGGACCCAGGAGCTCACAAGGCTGCAGGTGTTACCCCGTTTGCTGGGGAATAACCTGCACAAAGCAAAGTAGATGACATGCCACCTGCTGCCTCAGCAACCTGACTGGGAGGTGGAAACATCACTCCTCCAGTGTTTCCATCTCTTGGGCTTTTTCTTAACATAAATCGCACAGTGAAGAGGCAGAATGTACTTCCAGCTTAGATCAGGAGCTAAAACCACCATTAACTTTTTTTCTGAAAAGATTTTAGTGTGAGATACAGGACTTTATCCAAGCATGGTGGCGCACGCCTGTAATCCCAGCACTCGGGAGGCAGAGGCAGGAGGATTGCTGTAAGTTTGAGGCCAGCTTGTACTACATGGTGAGTTCAAAGCCAGCCTCAACTACATACTGACACCCTGTTTCGAAAAAGAAAAAGATATAGGACTTTACCCAAAATTATGTTCTAGTTTAATGATACCTATTTCATTCATTTTATTTATATATATCTCATTTCCACATTCGAGGAGGAATTGGAAACACTACATTTCTTCTTTCCACTATTTTAAGATCTACTATATTCATAAAACCAAATGGCATATATCACACACATGCAGGGCACTGGCAGAATTTAACAACTATGAAAGGCATTGTGAAAATTAAAACAGCCCAAAGAAAATCAGCATTCCAGTTATTCCACACTTCTATATTTCCTACCCTTCTTTCTTTCTTCTTCTTCTTCTTCTTTATTATTTTTTTATTTTATTTTTTTTTGGCAGTACTGGGATTGAACTGAGGACCTCACTTACAAGGCAAGTGTTCTACCACTAAGCTACATCCTCAGTCATTATTTTATTTATTTATTTACTTTCTTACTTAATTTTTGAAACTGGGTCTCATTAAGTTGCCCAGGTTTGCAACTTAAACTTCCATGCCCAGCTAAACAGCTTCTCTTCCAACATCTTATAATCTTTAAAAACACTGTATCGCTTAAAGTGAAAACACTAAGTAAAATATCTCTAATTTGCAATGACTGAAAGACAACACAGTAGCTGGATATAAAAAGATATCCTGCTACCTAAATTACTTACTACAGTAACATAATCATAAGAATGACTTAGAAGGGCTTTCCCAGCTCTCTGCAGATGGCAGAAGCTAGCTGTGGGTAGAACAGTGCATCTGAGAAGAGAGAACTCAGCCGGCCACCACTCCCCATGGAGAGACTACTGGACACAGACTACAACCACACCGGTGAGGGGCTGCTGCAGAACAGGCCAGGGATCAATCCGAACGGACTTCAGAAGCACGATGCAAATAAATCATCAGGCTATCATAATATATCAGATTACAAGAGTTTTCTTCCGACTCAAGGTAGATACTTTCTAAACTTGAACATTTGAATGAACTTCTCCAATTCTCATAGACTGAAATCGACTTACTGTATAAAACCAATTCTTAAAGTCTTGTCATAATTCATCTTATTGACTATTTAACTGTGACTACTACTCACATGTTGTATGTATTCTATAAATGAAATGACAGCTTACATACTGACAAAACTTTACTGTAGTACTCACTAGGATACCTCCTAATAATGATGCTCAACTATATCCAATTATTCATTACAACATATGACTGAATTATAGAAAACAACACTCAAATAATCTAGTATAAGAAATACTTTTAAATTTCTTAACTTTTTATATCACTTTGATATATCAAAAGGCCTAAATAAAACAATACAATCTAAAACTCATTTTCGGCAGTCATCACACATCTAATACAGTGAAGAAACTTTACCTTGCAATTAAAGCCAGTAAGAAAATTCTCCCAAGCCAATAATCAATATGGTACGTGCAACTAATTCAAGATACTAAAACACACACACATACTCACACACGTGTGTGAGGTGCATCTCAAGAGAGTCCAGCATTTATTACCTTCAAAGAAGCTACTTTGTGGAAAATAGCTATTCTCTAGTCCAAATATTTGAATGAACAGAATAGTTCATATGCATATATGTTTTTCTTTGAATTTTAAAGAATTTTATTTTTACAAATGTATATTAAGGTAGTTTATAACTACATAAAATCAGCTCTGTATGTTTGCTGTAACAGAATCTTACTTTCTTATAACATTTTTTATTTTCATAAAGATAAGCTTTTTCAGTTTCTTTAATATTCTTTTAAAATAGTATTTTTCCTTCTCTACAATGAGACTGTTATGAGGTTAAATATAAAGTAAAAAGAAAAATAAGTCAGATTTTAAAAAAAATTTAACTCTGTCGTGTCAATCCAAAGTCTCATGTAATGTATTAAACTAAAAACGTTTAAAGTATTTTGCTATATAATATCTAATAATTTAAAGAAATACACTAGCATTTCAGTACCACTTCTGATACTCCGTGATCTCACCTGGTTAGTTAGAGGTTGCTGAATCTGGTCAGAATATGATAAGGCAGAAACCTGTTGGTCACTTATGTTTGGCTGGCGACGGTCACTGTACTGATGTGAATGGGGCATCTGTCCAGCCATCTGAAGGCCAGCAGCATGGAATGAAAATGACGGTGCAAGCCGAACAGATGAAGGTTTGCATGCTGAAGTCTCTCCTCCTACGAAGAGATAAGTGAGATTTAACAGAAGCGGTCATGTTCTATTACTTCTATCATTTGACACATTTGATAGTTCTTTAAACATGGACTTTATGGTATACAGTAATATCAAAAACCCTTGTAACTACAAAAAGATATATACAACAATATTACGTGATACTAAATAGTGATTAAAATTAGTATCTATAAATTGACACTGAGAAAGATCTTTAGAAAAGCCTTTTATAAAGCAACTGCATTGACCTTGAAAATTTCTTTCACATTGGAAATGATAATCACCCAAGAACTGTAAGACGAGTTAGCGTTTGAATTTTTTTTTTTTTTTTTTTTTTTCTTTTGCACCGGGAATCAAACTCGGGACCTTGCACTTGAGAGGCACACAGTGGCACCGGAGCTACATCCCCGGCCGTAGAGTTCGTGCTCCTGAGAAGGGCCTTGCCAATGGGTCAGAGCTAAAACGCTCTCTTCACCTGCCACATACATGGCAAACAAGATCCCTGGGATTCCCCAAGCTGAGCAAAGAGCTCTCCAAATAGTGCTCTCCTCTGACACAGGTAACCGACAGGGACACAAATACGCACACAGAACTCGGCTTCAATTCCGGGTGCCAGATTCCTCTGGACTCTTTACTTTCAACACAGTCCCAAGACAATCTAGGCCAGGCGAGTTAACCACAAATAAAGAACAGACAGTAACTACCCCACGGGTAGGCTAGAACCATGACTATGACATCCCTAGTGTATTTGGAAAATTAACACCTGAGGTCCATAGAAGGACTGGTAACAGGTAATTCTACGACAGGGAGAGGAGGGCAGGCAGAGAGGGGCAGACAAAGAAAAAGCAAAAAGACTTCTTATATTCAGTCCAACTTATAATCACAGACTAGAGTTAAAAGACAAGGCAGAAAATCCCAGCCAACAAACTCTCACTCCAAATTGCTTGCGCTTCCTCCTGAATGAACCCGCCAACTCCTACCACACACCACACCATACTGTTCACCGCCAGGACACTTTTTCTGAAGTCTTCTAGAGACACACAGCAGTGCTGGCCCCACCACAAATATTACAGACCTCTTGTGTCTGCAATCCCGGCTCCACTACTTAGCGTCTGTACAGCCTTGCAAGGATTATTTCCTGACAACATTAACAGTATCTACAAAGTACCTGAAACAGCTCTGGCCATGAAGATCTGCTCCAATACCATCTCCAATGAGTGCACAGTAACATACACTAAGTGCACTGCAATGGACAATGAGGTGATGAAAACTCATGAGAACAAAGTCCAATTCCCCCTAAACTTTAAATTCTGCTTCTATTTTCTACCATAGTGAATGATGTTTTCTACTCAGGCAACCACAATCAAAACTCTGGGAATTGTGTTACAAGTTGGGGTTTTTTCCAACAGTCTATGTTAGCCAAACCTCATGCCGCCGATCTTTCTGATTCTATCCCTACAAAACACGCAAATACAACCTCTTGTTTTCATTTTCATCACCATATATTTCAAGATTACCAAAACACATTCCTAAGGATGCTTGCCTTGATTCATTTGCAACTTTGTATTTATTCAAAGATGGCTACAGTGATCTTCCTGAAAAGCAAATTTCAACTCCTATACCTCTATTTAATTTATCCCCAGCCCTTGGCACTGCTTTCTCTACCCCCATTATTGGGTGTCTTTAAGTGACCAACACTACAGAATAAATAAGTAAACGCACTTTGATCCTGAGAGGTGGGACAGCCCCTAAACTCTTCATCTTACCTAATGAAAAATACTGTCAGTCAGTTCAACTGTGTGCAGTAACTTTGTTCAGTTAAAAGGAAAACAAAAGAAAAAAGGTGCTGAGAATGTAGCTCAGTGGTAGAGCGCTTGCCTAGCGTGTGTACATGAAAACCTGAGTTAGATCCTGGGCATCACTAAAAACCAAATCCAAAAGAAAAAAGAAACTTTAAATTTAACCTAAAGAGAAAATTGATGAGATGTACAAAGATGTTAAGTATTGTATCTGTAATAGCAAAAAATCAAAATGTCCAATAGTATAGGAAGAGAAAGTATGTTAAAAACAAAGAACCAGTAAGGAACATAAGCATAAATTCATGTGGAAGAAATCAAGATCCTTAACCTATAAAAAGCTCTTAACAACAGAAAAAATATTAAAGTAAGGAAGGGCGAATTATCTTAGCCTTCATGCCTACACAGCAGATAGGTTTAAAGGAGACCACAAGGAGGCACACACAATGGAATCTGACACATAAAAACTGTTTAAAATGCTAGTTTCTGTTTCTATGAGCAATGTCCTAATTATATACTATGTCCTTATTTACTTATTACAAAATTATAGAAGAGTATAAAAGTCACTAGCATATGGCTTAATTATCATAATCTTAAGCAATTATAAGATGAACAATCTGTATGATCAAAAATAAAAATAAAACATGGCTAGCGTTCCAGAAACCCACCGTATCACTCTTGACCTTTTCTACTCAGTACTTTTTTCCTCTTCCCCAAAGTTACTACTGCCCTGACCTCCCAAACAGATTTGCTTTTGTTTTAAATGTGCTTAAATGCTTAATGTTACACCTACAAGCTGTTGTTTGTTCATTATCATTGCTTTCTAATATCCATTACATAAATAGATGTTTACCCATCCTACTTTTGATTGACATCTGGATTGTTTCCATTTCAGGACTACTATGAACATTAACCAAAAATAAAATTCTCAGTACACACTGTATGTGTTTGCACAGATTGTTCTGTTTTTCCAGGCTTTTATCAATTAACCCATTTTGTCCCTAGCAATTTATGACAACTTCCACAGCTCTGCTGAGTTTCCACCACTGGACTCAAGTCCTCCAGTCCCCGCTGTTCAGGCAGGACCAAGTAGTGTTCCACTGCAGCCTGGCTTTGCATTTTCCTGCTGGCTACAGGCCTCTCCGTCTGTGTGTTGGCCACCTGGGCACCACTTCTGTGCAGGCTGCTTCTCCATTTTTTTCTACTGAATTCTCATTTTTTTCCTCATAAATTTCTAGGGGTATTTTGTCTTTAGATATCTGGATGTGAGCACATGGCCATGCTCACTGTATTTTCTCATGATCAAAAGTTCTTATTAGTATTACTCTCATCATGCACCAAAGGCATGAAGAAATCTTGTTTCTTCTAGAAGCTGAGTGTTTGTTTACCTTACACATTATAGATGGGCAATCCATTTGGATTTGTTTTTGGGGTATGTGTAAGGTAAGAATAAAAATTCTTCCCCACTTCACAACAGATACCCATACAACTGAGAACCAATTATTTAAAAAGGAAACATTTTCTATCTTTGGATTTTTCTATTCTACCAGATACAGACTCACCAGATTTCTTCATGTAAAAACCAAATGCTGTCTAAATTTCAGTACCTTTTAGAAGTTTTAGTAACAAGAATCCTATTCTTGAAGGATGCTTTGGCTATTGTTAAGCCTTTGTATTTCCATGTAAGTTTCTGAATTAACTCATTGAATCTACCAAAACCAACCATGTTGAAAATTTGGTTGACTGTACTGTCTCTCTAGAACAACACTACCCAAAAGAATTTTCTGCAGTAGTAAGATTCACTGGCGCTAGTACTGTAATGTAGATACCAGTCATGTGTAGCTACTGAGCACGTGACAAGTTTTATTATTTCCTTCCAATATTTAATCTTTCTCGTCTTATTTTGTCTGCTGCGACCTCCAATACCAATGATGATTATAGGAGGTCATAGAGCACCACTGAATTAGTCCCAGCTCACAAAGAAAGCTTTCGAAAGTTTGCCAGTAGTCTGGCTAATGATCTAGGTTTTCAAGATAAAACTGTTAGGGTGATGAAGTTCCCCTCTATACCTAGTTTTCTAAGAACTTCCATGAGTGGATACTAAATTTTTATTATTAAATACTTTGTTTAAAATCTACTGAATTAACACTGCTTTTCAGATTCTATTAATGTGGTAAATAACACTGAATGATTTTTTTAATGTTAAATAAATTTTGCATTCCTAGAATGATTGGGTAGAATGGTGAAACTCTCTAAACCTGGAGTTTTTTTCATGAGTAGGTTATTTGATTAAAGATTACATTTCCTTACAAAATGAAAAAATGGAAATAAAGTGTTTGTAAATGGGGAGGGAAAGAGGGGGTGAAGGGTGGGCATGGACAAGGGGGAAAAAATGAGAATCAAGACCTGTCATGTAAAGGTACAAGATCCCAATAATGAATGTAACTGTACTGTATACCTAAAATGTACCAATAAACTCAATAAAAGAAAAAAAAAGATTACATTTCCTTGATGGAACTATTCATATTTTGTATTTCCCAGAGTGTCTGTTCTAGTAAATTGCATTTTTCAAATATGCCTATTTAATCTGTTTCATATGCAATGATATCAAGTTCTTTATAATAACATCCCTTCTCACAAGCTTTTTCAATGCAGACGTAACTGTAGTGCTATCTTCTTTTCTTTACCTCCAAACTGGTGAGCCAGGGCCTCCCTTTCTTTGGGACCAGCCTCACCAGAGTTAATAATTTTGTTAGGTACATTTTCTCTCTTAAATGTGTTTTAATTTTGTTCCATCAGCTACCAAGAGAGGTGGATTTAAAAAATCTTCCATTTATGGTATTCATTGCATCACACAAACTTAAAAAGAACTGTTACACCTTCCTTCTAGATAAACAAAATCTTTCACCATTATAAACGGTCTTATTTCCAATAATGCCCTTCACTCTCCCTAATATTAGTAAGGAAACACTGAACTTTCTCTTAATTTTGATACAATGTATCTTTTACTTTCAAATTACTTCCTTATATTTTAGGTTCGCCTCCTTATGTAGTTGGTTTAACTTATGTAACAACATAAGTAACCTTTCTATATGTTCCAACTGTTTCATGTTCTTTTCTTCCCTTTTGCTGGATTGAATTTTCTACATTCACGAACACACTACTTTTAATTTTTTCGTTACCTTATACATTTATAACAGATCATGCAC